CGAATGCGTCCAGCCGCGCAACGATCATCACTTGACCTGGCAAGACGATATCCTTCCCAATCTGGTCTTGGGAGACGATGTTCACTCTGCTCCTACGCGTTTGATATGTCTGGAAAACACGCTGCATGGTCGCATCTTTCCTCAAGAGGAGATCATCCGCATCGCAAAAGGTGCGGCTGAACACGACATCAAGCTTCACTGCGATGGAGCTAGATTGTGGAACGTAGCTGCAGAGACTGGCAAGTCCATCGAGGAGCTGTGTCGACCTTTTGACTCTGTTAGCATGTGTCTCAGCAAAGGTATTGGTGCGCCAGTAGGAACGTGAGTGTTGGGCCATCATCAAAGCAGCTGCCGACTGCCGGACTGCTTGCGAAACGAACCGCTGGCTCATTACAACTCTTCCACCGCCACCCATCGACGGATCATACGTCAGCGTGCTGGTCGGTAACGCCGCATTCATACGCAAAGCGCGCCACTTTAGAAAACTCTTCGGAGCGGGCATTCGACAGAGCGGATCCTTGGCTGCTGCTGCGCGCACAGGTCTGTCGGAACACTTTCCCAAGCTCAGAGCGACGCACCAGCTGGCCAGATTCGCTGCGGACGAGCTGGAAAAGCTTGGCGTGGCGATCGTTGGTAGACCTGAAACGTGCATGGTGAGCGGAATCGCTTTTGTTGAGGCAAGGAACGGAAATGGGGGGCCAAATTAAATGGCTAAACATTCCTCTTGTCGTATCTGTACCCCTCTCCCGACTTTTTCTCAGTTGTTCATCGATACTGCCCACCTTGGTTTCTCGTTGCAAGAGCTGCAAGAACGCGCTGCGCAACTGCCAAAGCCTATTCGATTGGGAGCAGCGCGCATCGTGATACATCATCAAACGAGCGCGAAAGCCATCGAAGACTTGATAGATTTGGTGCGCTCGCTAAGAGAAGAATTTGCCCATCGCGCGTACGAAAGGGAAAGTGGCAGTGCGGACGGTGGTGCGCCTCGTGCTCAGGAGGGCGGGAATTTGTACGCTGCGATGAGCAAGAGCAAACATTCTAGACAGTCGAGTCGGTAGACAGACTGTGAAGCAATGAAACGAATGCAAAGCTTGCCTGACTGAACAAGCGTAGCACGATGTGGAGGAGGCAGGGCCTTCGAAGCGCGTGTGTGGAGTGGATGTTCGCCCAAGCATTGAATCTGAATGGGGATCCGATTCACGATTCTGACAAAAGGTGGTGGTGGGTGTGCTTCTCGTTCTCACCCGTGCGTCGTGGTAAGCGGCCGCGGCGTGCATGCAACCACGAACACAGAAAAGAGTTGTTCCACGCACGGACGCGCTTTGATCGATTAATTCATGGAGCTCTGCTGCTGCGCGGCTAAAGCGGTCGCTTGCCGCACC